TTTTTTTTTTTTTTTTTTTTTTTTGTTGTTGCAGGATTTGATGACGTGGTCATACTCTCTCTCTCAAAAGAAAGGCAAGAGAGAATGAAATAAAAGAGGGAAAAACTGCATTTCGTGGCCAACGAATCCGACCCTGAAATTCTTTTTCCTCTCCCATTTCCGTTTTACGTATCCTCTCTGTTTTAGCCATCACCTTAGCCTCACTCAATTTGAATCCCGTCGGTGATTTTTGTTCTATTTAGTAATTATCTTGTTCTTATCGACGTTGAATCGAACTTTTTTGCGAATACCTTGATTCCACGATTGGCTATGATTCTACAAATATTAGGTTCGGCTTGCAATTGTGTTGGCAATCTGGTTTCTAATGAGCGTGATACAAATGATTGGAGGTTTTCTTTGTTAATTCCGTAGGAATTTTTTGTTTTAGTTTTTGTTCTTCCTATTTTCGGTGTTTTGTTTTTAGTTTTTTTGTTCATTTTTATGGTTTTCAATGATCAATGGAGACGGGCATTGTGAGGGCTTCTCGGAGGTCGCCTCTGCCGATCCATTGGATTCATCTTCACCTTGGGGTGTCGAGAATGTCGATGGTTGCTCTGTTGCATCGCCAGCTTCTTCGAGGTATTCGTCCTGCGGAGATTCCGAGTTTGAGAGGTATTGCAGTGCGAATTCAGCAATGGGAACGCCAAGTATGCGCAGCACGATTACAGTATTTAACGATTGCATCGATTCTGAACTTGCGTATGCGAGGAATTATGGGTTCAGTGATGATGGCGGCCTGGAGAACTTCATTTTGGGAGGGAACGAGATGAATTCGATGGATACGAATATAGTAGGCTATAGAAAGATAGAACTGCACGATGAAATCACTCGTGAAGAGCAGAGTACGAAACATAGGTCTAGTGGGTTGAATTTGTACGGTACGGGTGAGCTTATTGATTCACTTGAAGCTAATGGCGAAGGTTTGTGTTGGAAGGTTGAGAGCACATCGGATTTATTATGTGGGGTAGATATGACTAACCGATCTGAGAAGGTAGAGAGCAGCAAAGATGAAAAAGAAGGCTTCATTATAGGGACAGAAGCCAGTGAATCGGGAACGGAGGTGGATGCTGTTCTTGGAGATGTAACCAATGAAGCAGTTCATATGGGATGTTTAGAAGGAAGTACGGTTGGGATTGGTATGAAAATAGGACAAAGGTTTGAAGAACGTCTTCTACCTTGCAGGGTTGAGAAAAAGTCTGACGGTGAATTGGATGTGGAAAATGATAGATCCCAGAACGAGCATTCAGAGAGTGAGGATTCAATGTATAATTTTTTATCTGATGGTGATCATAGGGATGAAACTTTCCTGCATAATAATGCACGCATTCTTCCAGAAACTGACATGGCAAATGAAAATCCACTGCTTATCAATTCATCTGTTGCTTTCGGTTCGGACGATTGGAATGATTTTGCGGATGCACTCCAGGAAAGGATACCGTGCAATCTGAATTCCTCTTCTCTGACTGTTAATGGTGTTCTTGATGGTAGTGGAATGACGAGAGAAGATGGAAAACAGATGCTCTTAGCCTGCAAAGAAGATCAAGCTAGCACAAATTTTCTGAAGAAAGTTAACTGCAGTTCTGGGGATTGTATGATTGTGCCAACTGCTGAAAGAGCAAACGACGTGATTCAAGTGCGGGACATTCCTATGGCGATCTGTCAAGTCCAGTCTTTTGACGAGTTGGAGGAAATTGCAAACAATACTTTTTTAACTGCAGCTGATTTTTCATACGGTCTTGAATTAGATCAAGATGCAAAGGATATATTTGTTGTTAATAATCAGGCAGGAGATGCTGATAAAACTGCATATAATAGTGAATGTCTTGTTTGTAATGTTTCTGGAGTTGGTACAGGAGCAGAGAAATTTACTTCAAAGCAGCACGTGTGCACAGTGGATGGTAACTCTGTAACGCAACCTCAAATCCTAGAAACCGAAGATAACGGTGGAGCGGTGAATCAAGGCTTAGATAGCCAAGGACTAGGAAATGTGAAAACAAAAATGGACCCTCTTGGTGCTGCTTTAACTAATCGTCTTTCGACTCATGCTAGTGACTGTAGCGAGGATTTGGCACATTCCAATTCAATACCTGAATCAAAAGGTCATCTTTTGCCAGTTGAGGTCAGTAGAAATTTCTTTGTTTATGATGCTCGGTTATCATTGGCTTTGACTTCTTACTTGCCTTGAAAATTGTCTCGAATTGTGCAAAATCTTAAATCATCACCTAGTAACTGATTGAACACATTGTCTCTGTCCCACTAACGCTCCCTCAGTTATAAGATTATGTCCAATGAATCTTTAGAAATATTCTATAAACATTTTAAGATGCTTGTGTATTTGTACGCGAGGGGATGAAAGGACCGTAATGCCACTGATGAAGTGTATTGTTAAAGATAAGAGGAGCCATCAATCCAATGTATTTCACTTATTGTATCTGTCCATTCTATATTTATTTTGCAATTGTATATCTGTTCCTCCGGCAGTCGTCAATCACCTGCAAGTGTATGGTCGATGTACAAGTACAATAATTGTTGGCTTTGAAATGAATACCTATCTTGATGCCCTCACATTCTTGCAAATTTTTTTCCTTGCAGCTAGCAAAACTTGAGATACATGATTTCTATGATGAAGTTGTTCACGAAATGGAAGAAATACTACTTGAATCTTGTGATTCTC